GTGTCCGAGCCCACGGTTGTGGCCATCTGTGTCCATCCCTCTTGTGGAGGGTCTTCCTCTTTGTTTGCCACCCCTCTACTCTACCAAGCGTGATGTCCTTCGCCAGGAACTGGTCTCTCCCAACGACCTGTTCAAAGGGTTAGAAGAGGGTATCAGAAGGGGGAGTTGCACGGCCCTTGCTTCTAGAGCATTCTGGCTGTACTTGCGCTGAGTCAAATTTGTCCGTTCTTCTGGCCCTCCGGGCTTCCATGGCATAGCCGGTTGTCATGTCTGCTCCACACTCGGCAGGCCCTGGGTTCGTGCCTAGTAGAACCGCCTGGCATCCGCAGACATCCAAAATCAAACTCACTGCCATCCCGTCAAAGCTGACTCATAGCGACCCTGTAAGGCAGGGTAGAACGGAGGGTCCTGTGGGTTTCTGAGACTGTCACTCTTGGTGGGAGAAGAAAGCCTCCTCTCTCTCCCACTAAGCTGCTCGTTGGTTCGAACTGCTGGCCTGGCAGTGATAGCCCAAGGTACTACCCACTCCGTCACGAGGGCTGCTACTTCCCCCAGGCAGAGGGGTTAGGATTTGGAGGACCTGTTCCTAGGACGCGAGAGGTTGGAAGTTCAGCTCCACACAGTGAGGAGCCTCGGAAGAGAGGCCTGGTGATCCACTTTGGGGAAACCAGCCTCTGCACACAAACGGCCAACGGCATCATCGCAGTTCTGCCCAGACAAACACAGGGGGCGCCAGGTGGAATGCACACGTTTGCCACTGATTGCCCACCCCCAAGCTTTGTGGTTGCCGCAGAAACCGAACTTTTAGCTTGAGCCTTTGGGGAGCCCCTTCCTAAAAACTGTCTCCTGAACCACCCTTTCTTCTTCTGTGGCTGAGGAATTTCCCTAACTCCCCAGAGGGCCCCAATCGCTTCTGGGCTCTCCCTTCTGCTATCTCCCAAAGAAATTCCGATCTTGCAGCACCAGGATGCCATTACACCACCTGCCTGAGCCTCAAGGCTTTAAGGCTGAGAGAGAGAGAGAGAGAGAGAGGAAAGAGGAGGGGAGGGGAAGAGAGCGGAGAGGAGGGAGAGAGAAGCTCAGAGCAAGTGTATTTACTCAAGTATAGTTCAAATTCAGGGTTTCAGCCTTTTTAGGGCAGCTTGTTGCCCTAAAGCAAACATGGCCTTTAGGAAAATAGGGGGGTTTCTGGGGGGTGGGTGGGCACACAGACCTCTGATAGGGCCAGCCCAGGGCCCTGAGCTCTCCCTGCGTGCCCCCTCTTCCTC